AGGCAACTCTCTTGTGATTTGCATCATAGCCAAACAACAGTCCATGAAAACATCAACCAATTGTCTTATACTGAACTTGGCTGTTTGTGATATCTTGACCACTGTTCTCCTGACACCAAATTTCATCAAAATAGTTTTTCTTGGAGGCAAATGGTTTGGTGGTGCTTTGGGAAGCTTCACTTGTAAAATGTTGGAATACGGAAACTCCGTTACACTTTACTGCTCTCTTTTAAACCTAGTTGCTATCGCCATTGATCGATGCCTTGCCGTCACTCGTCCACTATCTTACAAACTTTCATCAAAAAGGCTGGTAAAGATTTCAATTCCTGTCATGTGGTTGATTTCATTTTCATTACCCAAAGGAAGTCTGTCGAACACACAATTATACTATGACGGTGATATGAGGCCGAGATGTGAAGAATTAAGGGATCGAGGCTCTCTTGACTTGTATATCACAGTAGCTACTTTAATGGGCTCATTTATTGCACTGAGTGCGCTTTATTCAGCGATTTCTTATCGTCTTTGTAGAAGAAACATTCCTGGTGAGATACCCAGCAATCAAAAGGATCTTGTTATTCGTACAGCACGAAAGGTCACTATTTTAATGATATCAGTTGTAGTTGTCTTTTTTGTTTCATGGGCACCAGCCTTTGCTTTTTTCTTAATCCTCGAATTTGGAAATGCTGGTCCGACCTTTGGAGAAGTTTTAACGCAATACCCCCTTTTATTTGCTATAAGTTACTGGCTTATTTGTAACAACAGCGCCTTTAATCCCCTGTTGTATTTCATATTTATTGAAAGTTTCCGTCAAGGCTTGAGAACGGCATGTTCAAGATGTCGTGTTCCTCGATTCTCACTGCAGGAAAGGAGGCTCAAAACTGGACAGGAATTAACGAGGAATAGGCCAACTCTGGATATCATCAATAAGGAAGAAGGAAACATTGAATTGAAAGCATACTCTGGGCACAACCTATGAGTGGGACTGTCTTCCTTTAAGTATAAAACGTTTGTAATTTATCTGTGTGACCATGAACAAGAGTATGAAAGAAGACCTCTCAGACTTAGGATAACGTTTGAATGTTTTCCTTCGGCAGTATTATGTAAGCGTAAGTAGGTGGAAAAAGTGAGCCATGTATATTCCACTCCTTCTCTGTTTAAAGAGATGAACTTTCTTCTGAAAAAATCGGAATGTCATAAGTATTTCAGAATTGCTTTGGTTTTGCTTTACTTTGCTCTGTGATTGGTCTACAAACCTTGCGCCACTTTCTCAACCAATCAGATATAAAACAAAAACCAATCCCGACTTGGTCGCTCGCGTTTTCCAGCGCTTCAGGCTGTTTGGTTGGTTTAACGTTGAGTTCTCATCTTAAAAGTTTTTTACTTTCTTCTGATTGGTTTTTGAGATAACTTAGGTTTTGGTTTTAAGAGAATCAATAACAATTACAAGAAGTTTTAAACTAAATAGACATTTTCTTGTAATAGTTATAAAAATAATAATACTAACAAAAATTTATTTAAAGTTATATAGCGCAGATATCAATTGGGATATATAGATAAAATAAAACTAAAAGTAACCAATACTTATAACAGATAAATACAGATATTATTAACTAATATAAACAAAATAATATACCTTACAAAGTGATTAATATATCAATCTACGAGGAATAAGCCAATGAAATAACATTTCAAGATAAAATTATTTGTGATATATCAATTTATGAACCCTAAATTATTGAAAAAGCTTTCTTAAATAAAAAGGCCTTTTGCAATTTCTTAAATATATCTATGTTTGTTGAGCTTCTGATCGAAGGAGACAACACAATGCAAAGCTTAGGTGCAGCTGCTACGAAAAACGTTCATGACTCAAATGATTCTTTATGATATCTCATTATTGAGTGTTAGTTATATCCACACCACTATGGTACTGACCATGATGCTTCAGATTTTGAAAAATGATCTGTGAGTTAGTTTTAGTGTAGCCAAAGTAAGTTGTTTGCAGTTGAAATGATGTCTTTTGCAAACGATAAAACAACACAAGATCAGTGACAAGAGGATGGAATAATTTTACTTTGCCAATATCTTTGCAGTCAGACCTTAGCAAGTCATGATCTTAATAAATTTCAGATATTCAGTTAAAGAGGAGTGTTGATCGATTTGTTTTCCTCGATCTTTTAAACGATAGCACAACGTCAAAAAGTCGTTTTTTTAAAGCATTTTTTGACCGAACTCGCTCCGTTTGTACATTAATTCTAGTCATAGCGAGGTAACGGCGTCTTCGTTGATCAAATTGATTGTAGTTACGCGATGGATCTCATCAATCCTAATGGCATGACTATCTTGAGGGGATTTCGAGAAAGAAGGAGGATCAGCCAAACTTCAAAATTCAATGAGTCTTAAAAGACTTCTTCAACGCCGATACCAGCAGTAATATAATGCTTCTTCGCGTATTAACACATTTTCTCGAACAGGTTTAAGTTCTGCAGAGAACTTAACAAAAATGTGATGAGTCCTCTTAATAAATAAGGTTTATTTCCCTCATTTTTCACTCGCTGAGGCAATTGAGTGTTGAGATAACGAGGTCTACAGTATAATTTTTTAAAGCTTTTTAGAAACGGATCAGTTATGGGTATTTGATTTTATTTATTGACAGAGCATCTGAAGAGTTTTCTTACTTTGCAAATCCGAAATTAAGAAACAAGAGAAAGTGACAATTTTTATTTCCCCTTGTTGTTCAAGTCTCATTATTCCTTGAAATGTAAATAAACAACATACAGTCAAAAGCAAACCGCTGTTTGGTTAATCAGTAGGACAAATCAAATACAAAACGGCAATGCTGTGTTAATTTGAGTCCTCGTTCACCCGGTAAGCCGAAGTACCATGCTAACACATAAAATGTGGTTTCGTGTTGTTTGCCCAATTATCATGTTCTATGTGTGGGTGTCCTCTGCAGAGGAAAACTCATCCAGCCTTAACGATACAAATCTACGGAAATGTAAGTTATCAAAACCTTTATTTCCTTTGTTCACTTGCGGTAGACAGACTTAGGAATACAGCGAGGAAGACTGACTTGTATCCCATTCCGTAGAAACATGTAATGTGGTTCCGTTTTTAAGAGTGATTATTTTTGGGAGGAACACTGCCGTTCAGAATGATTATTTTGCATGAGTTTATTTTTCATTTGAAACAATCCCTGCCGGCCCTGCAGCGCGAAAATACTTTTAATACTATCGTTCTCTTAATGATTCATCCATTTAAACCGTGAAAGACCTACGAAGCTCATAGTTTACATGACTTGAGCTTCAAGTTTCCCAGACATCTCACCAGTGTTTCACTTCAGCCTTTCAGTAAAAATAATTCTGGAGACTACACATAAGGAACACGCTCATTATCCCGAAGGAAGCAAGCGCACAAGTGTTTTTCCTCTACCAGTAGTTAAATTATTTTGAGAAGTAATAAGTGATAAGCTGCCAGTGATTTGTTTGTTCAATTTACATAACAGAAGGTGGAAAATTTAATTTCCTATGAGTCCCGTTAATTAGATTTTACCTCAAGAAAGATTAAAATAACTTTAATTTTCCTTAAAAAAAATTTGTCAAGTAAACGTTATAAGAGATAATTTTTGAAAACACATTTTTTTAAAATGAGGATTGGGTGTTAATTTCACTCTATATTACTGACTTTACACTTTAAATAAAAAGGCCCAGAGATAATAGCCTCCTGTGTCGGGTATATCAATGAGCCACTCCCCTTGATGCTGAATGTGAGCTTGCTTTTCCCTTGTAGATTCATTCATAATGCATGAATTTTCATCATTTCTCAACAGATCTACCAAGCACCATCGATCTCCAATTCAGTTTACCAACGACAATAATTTTCGCCACAGCCATATTATTTAGCTTCGTGATGTCTGTGATAGGCAACTCTCTTGTGATTTGCATCATAGTCAAACAACAATCCATAAAAACATCAACCAATTGTCTTATACTGA